AATAAAAACAAACGCTTTTCTTAAGCTTTCGACGTTTTAAGTCTTCTTCAGAAAAAATTGACGTTTATAACATAAACATTTTTTTTTTTTCAAAAATCTATAAAATTTCTAAAAAATTTTAATATCAACACAGTAAAGGTCATATGGGGACTTTCCAACTTTACTGGTGGAGGAAGACCCCACATGCCCCCCGGTGCATTATTTCAGGAACGAACAGGACCATGAGTAGAACCCTAACCAGCATTCCGTAAGCTAGCTGGATAGCTTCCTCACATTAAAGAATCCAAAGTCCCTGGCGGGATTCAAACTAACAGTGGTGAAGGGCAAGTGGTTTGAAGTCAACAACCTTAACAACTCAGTCAGGGACCCCCCTAGAATTTTAATTAAGTTGCATTGGTTTCAAAATTAATTTATATGTTATGTACATGTACTTTTACTACAGAATGTATACTTGATACAATAAAGAAACAATCTATAGACAAAACAAGCAAAATTAAACAGAAACATTGAGATAATTAGATCTGACAGAAAAAAAAAGGAAACGGCTAATACAAACTAGAGGATGCTTTTGTAAAAAAGCGCATGTCTCCCCCACTGCTGAGAATAACTGTGAATGGAAACAGGAATGGAAATGGAGATAAGATAATGTAAATACCCGGTAGTCACTTCAATGAAGGCTGTCTATGGAGAAAATGACCAATGGTCACTGTGACCTTAACCTTTGACCTACTGACCCCATAAACAAGAGGGATCATCTGCTCAATAAGACCAATCATCCTATGAAGTTTGAGGGTTGTAGGTCTAAAGGAACTCTAGTTATCATCCGGAAAGGAGAAATTAACCAACGGTCGCTGTGACCTTGACCTTTGACCTACTGACCATTAAAACAATAGGGATCATTTGATTAATAAGACCAATCATCCTATGAAGTTTGAGGTCTGTAGGTCTAAAGGAACTCTAGTTATCATCCGGAAACGAGAAATTGACCAACGGTCACTGTGACCTTGACCTTTGAACTACTGACCCCAAAAACAATAGGGATCATCTGCTCAATAAGACCAATCATCCTATGAAGTTTGAGGTCTGTAGGTCTAAAGGAACTCTAGTTATCATCCGGAAACGAGAAATTGACCAACGGTCAGTGTGACCTTGACCTTTGACCTACTGACCCCAAAAACAATAGGGATCATCAGCTCTATTAGACCAATCATCCTATGAAGTTTGAGGGCTGTAGGTCAAAAGGAACTCTAGTTATCATCCGGAAACAAGAAATTGACCAACGGTCACTGTGACCTTGACCTTTGAACTACTGACCCCAAAAACAATAGGGATCATCTGCTCAATAAGACCAATCATCCTATGAAGTTTGAGAGCTGTAGGTCAAAAGGAACTCTAGTTATCGTCCGGAAACGAAGAATGGACGGACGGACTGACGGACGGACGGACTGACGGACGGACTGACGGACGGACGGACTGACGGACGGACAGGGCAAAAACAATATGTCTCCCCCCGAGGTGGGGGAGACATAATTACCCCTTGGTTACTGGACCCTAGGCTAGTCTTAAAATAAACAAGATTTCTAGTTTGAGCCTTTACAGAACAAAGAACTAAACTATTGCCTATTTTTTTTACCTTGAAACACCAAACGTCACTTTTGAGTTCAACCTTTTAGAATAACCTTGACTTTTGGGGCTTACCGTATCAGGGTCGAAGGACAACCCATTGTCATATTAAAGTTAAAATGATTTGAAAGAAAGTTGTTAGAAGAAAAAATTCATGAAGAAAGTAGTGAAATAGCCATGTTGAATTGCTGATGGAATAAAGGATGGCATAGAGAAATAAATGAAGATTAACTCTGTTTTTCGTGACAGAACTTTCCTACGAGTTTTCAAAATAAGTGCATAATATTATACGTTAGCCTGAATATGACATGTATAATAAAAATGATACATGTAAAAATTATGTCATTATTATTCAAAACACAAAAAAACAAGAGCCGGTTGAACCCGGTGATGCTCCCCGAATAGGTTTTGGACAGTTATATGAGTTATATCACAGAAAAAGTTCAAAGTGTAAAAATAACCCAAATGTTGTGCACGACACATTGTCTCAATAATTATGGTGATCATTTTTGTGAAATAGTTGTAAAATCCAACTTCAAAAAACGAAGTTATGGGCCGGACACAATTTTACTGCAAGGTCATGCTGTGACCTAGACCTTCAAGGAAGTGACCCAAATATTGCGCGCGACACGTTGTCTCAATATGGTGATCAATTCTGTGTAATACTTTTAAAATCCAACTTCAAATAACAAAGTTATGGGCCGGACACGATTTTGCTGCAAGGTCATGCTGTGACCTTGACCTTCAAGGTAGCGAGCCAAATGTTGCGCGCGACACGTCGTCTCAATATGGTGATCATTTCTGTGAAATATTTTTAGAATCCGACTTCAAATAACAAAGTTATGGGCCAAACACAATTTTGCTGCAAGGTCATGCTGTGACCTTGACCTTCAAGGAAGTGACCCAAATGTTGCGCACGACACGGCGTCTCAATATGGTGATCATTTCTGTGAAATATTTTTAAAATCCGACTTCAAATAACGAAGTTATGGACCGGACACGATTTTGCTGCAAGGTCATGCTGTGACCTTGACCTTCAAGGAAGTGACCCAAATATTGCTCGCGACATGTCGTCTCAATATGGTGATCATTTCTGTGAAAAAGTTTTAAAATCCAACTTCAAATAACAAAGTTATGGGCCGGACACGATTTTGATGCAAGGTCATGCTGTGACCTTGACCTTCAAGGTAGCGACCCAAATGTTGCGCACGACACGTCGTCTTAATATGGTGATCATTTCTGTGAAATATTTTTAAAATCCGACTTCAAATAATTAAGTTATGGACCGGACACGATTTTGCTGCAAGGTCATGCTGTGACCTTGACCTTCAAGGTAGCGAGCCAAATGTTGCGCGCGACACGTTGTCTCAATATGGTGATCATTTCTGTGAAATAGTTTTAAAATACGACTTCAAATAACAAAGTTATGGACCGGACATGAATTCGGGACGTACGTACGTACGGACGGACGGACAACCCGACGACTATATGCTCCCCCGAAATTTTTCGGGGAGCATAAAAAGATATTCCAAATATACTACAAGTTGTAAAAACATAATACATATTACATTGTACATTTTTTTTTAACTAAATAAACATTATTTATAATCTGTAAGTTAGGCCATAGAAAATTAATCTTTAGACTCTCATCCAGGTTTCAAGAAATAATTGGGGCGGGTGGGTGGAATTTATAATTTATAACTTATTTTATCCATCACTTTTAAGACCTGAAAAAACAGAAATGTATGAATAAACAAGTGTTTAAGGCTTTTCAACTGGCAAAATTTTTCAAATATATTGATGAACGTCGCATCATTTCCACCCAGATTTTGATCAAAACTAAACCCAAACCAATCACAAACAGTTTTCTTGTTTACTGCATCATATATTTCACATATGACGAACATTTTGACAATTTTACTGATCGAAAACGAACGTTTTTAAAATCTTGATCACTAGGCGCTGTAAACCTCAGTCTGATTTTTATGCGTTCGTCCCGCGAATATTCGACCACGATTTTCGGACTAATTTTCGTCCACAGACGTCTGCGAAATGAACAATTTTTTTTTATGAAAATAAATTATTTTGGAGCGGAAAGATTTTGATACGGGCGGGCGAGGATGAGAGTCTAAAAATTAATTTTCTGTGGCCTTATACATGGTGTAGAATATTATATGTGTAAGAAAAACTTATTATATTCAGTTGTTAAGGTTTTAAGACCAGTGAATACATGCTAAACATGGGAATCCTACACTTTTCCTATATGTAACAGAAAATGAAGAAATCATGAAAAATAGAAACATTAATATGATGAAATTAAGAGTTGTAAAGGTATCTAGTCATTTATCAAAAACCCTCATCTCGAAGAATGAAAAATCTTTAAGTAATTTTAAAAAATGTATCCTCGTGTTCGGTTTTTCCATGGGTACAAGAGCAATGTCGCTGACGTAAACTAAGTAGTGTTTACAACACAATTCAGACATCCAAAAAATCACATAACCAGATTCACGTTTGTGCACAGAACTTATTTATACCGGAAAACGGTGAATCCACGAAAAGAAAACCGCCCATGAAAATACCTGATGTGGGGATAATATCTAAATGGATGTACAACAAGATATCTAGCAGTATTATTACCACTTTATCCTGATCAAACACCTCGACAATAATGGTTGGCGGGCTCTCTGCGATCTCTTGCATCAGACCGTACATCGTGACCTCGTGTATAATCAACATCTCATCCCACGTCGGACTGAGTGTCTCCTCTATCACCTGGGTACATACAGACTGGTCTCCAAACGCTATACGAGCAAATGGATCCGACAGTCCCGAGGCATCTGAACCAATCAAACTTCTCGCTTGATACATGTGACCTCGTAATTGGAACACCTGCTTCTCTGTAAGCATTTTACAATTCATAGGCATATTTTTAAAAGATGACATTCAGTAAGATCCAATACAATGGAAAGTTTATGTAACACTTTCTGCAAAGTTTGCCAGCATCAGATAACTCTTAACAGATACAAACAAAGTAATATTTAAGATTTGTCTCCCTTGCTTACATTTGTTAGTGTCACATCACCAATTGTGAGCAAAAATATAGATGCACAAAGACTTGCTGTATGTACAAAGTCAACTCACTCATAGTTTTGCTATAACTTATCTAAAAGACTTATACTATCAACTGAACCGCATTTTGATTCTGATTTTCAGGAATATAATGATAAATTGATGAGCGCATTATCTTATATCACCTATTGCTACAATTGTTACTAACTAACACTTTTTTAAGAATATAATAGAAAGACATGTAAGTAAAAACTTAAAATTTATCCCCAAAAATGAACTTAATACACCGTCTTAATCACAGCTAATTAGCTTGCTAATGAGGGCACTGATTTTACATTTTTTCTTTCTGGTATGTTTGATTCTAATTGTTCGGCAAGATTCAAACTCAAAGAGTTGAAGAGTATTTGATTGTTATAAAATTAAGTCACACATTGGTCACAAAATTTCAGATATTGTCATAGGTTAACTCCTATTAAATCATATAAGGAGTTAACCCGTTACTGCACCAAAGTGACAATATGGAAATCAGCAATTACCTGTATAGGATATAAGAGGCGGGGGCACACACTGAGGTTTGATGGACAGTTTCAGTGGCTTACTCTCCTCATAGCCATGTGGTAAACCAGCCAGGTAATCTTTCTTGTGTTTACTCAAGCCTAACCACAGGTAAACTTGAAGTTTGGCTTGGATTGACCAACCTGCTTGGCTGCTAGCTTTCTTTCCTGGTAACTGAAAACATGTCATGTGAACGTTCATAACAGAGAAGTTTCTGTATACCTGTGAAATTTACAGTAATATTTGTTGTTTGATTTCTATATAGATTTATTTTTGCAAAATCTCTAATGCCGCAAAACTTGTTCCATCACAAAAATTTCTGATTTTACAATAAGCTTACCTTAAGCAGAAGAGTTTTCACTTTTCCGCAATCTCTGCCACATTCCTCGTCCACAATGGAGTAAACAATATCACGAGCTTGTAGCCTTTGGTAGGCGATCCTTTTATTACCACTCACTAGCCATATAAATATATCCGGTAATGCGTGCTGCGGCTAAAACAATAAGAAAATTAGAAAATTTAAAAGCAAATAATATCATTATTGCAATCTAAAGTAATTAATGTGTCAGTTAACATTTGCAGAAAATAGAGTTAACATAGAAATCTATTGCCTCTTTTGCTTTTTCTACCCATTCTTACATTGAAAATCAAAAAAATCTTAATTGTCAATAACAGTTCTTTTGTAAGTGCATTTACAAGTTCCTGTTAGGAATAACTGAGTTAATCTTGTCATTAAATGGTCCTTACATATTCAAACATGAGGAAATAACAATTATAAGATAGCCAAATGTGTCAATTTTAATTTGCCCATAATTTTTTTTTTCACAATTGTACCGAGATACTCTATGAATAGAATGGAAAATGTCAATGACTTCATTTTAAGGCAGAAAGTCTGGCACTTCAATATATGTAATTAGAAGGTGAATTAATAGACAAATTTGCATAAATGATCAGGAATCTACAGCTTTCTGTTTACATAAGAAATAGCTGGAGATACACAAGGGGGGTAGAATATACCCTACATTTGAACATCCAACAATATCAACCCTAGACAATCAATTATATCAAGTTAGAAAACCTCTTTGGGGACTTAAATGTGGTAAAAAATCATATTCTTTGCACAGAAGCCAATTCACAGCTCTAAAACCATTAACATTAAGCAAGGAAAAACTCAGTTTGAGAAAAACAGGTTATTCTTAGTGAACAAAAACACAATTAAGCAAGTCCCTAAAGAAAGAAGCACCAAGGCATAATTCCAAATAAAGGAGAACATTAACAAGGGATTATTGAGAAAAATTTCTATGTGTATCAATAATTTATTTATTTATAAAATTCTTCTTTAATAGAAGAACTATTTAAAACAAGTACCTCTTGCATAAGACCTTTAATTTTCTGTAAATACTGCATTGCTGAGCGTATTTTATCTTTCAGGTTGCTCTTTGCTGTAGTGGCCTTCATGGTCCGAGACAATGTCGACATCTGGTCCTTTAAAAACAATCATCATACATTTGATATTTGATAGAAAATTACACCCCCTTTATATCTGCTTGACAAAGTTTTTATTGTATTATAAGCCAATGCTAGTTAACCCTTTACCACATATATACGCGAAACAACACACTTTCTTTTAAGACTGAGCATGTCGTTACAAAGGCAATGGTCCAGTCAACATTTGTGCCAAGTTTGATTAGTATTGAAGCATTTTTCATAGTTTCATAGCAGTTTGAACTTGTAACAGGAGGCTTTTCGATGAAAACGGCCATTTTTCACAATATGCTCATGAGGGAAAGGGTTAAAGAAGTTTCCAATTATAAACAGTAGAAAATTGAGAGGCAGAAAGTTTACAGTCTGGTATTTTATACAAAAATAACTTTTTTCATTTCATAAAATTGGTTTATTGGTGAAATTTAAAAACAAACCACTTTAAATTGTGACAAAATACAATCAATAGTCACACTTTAAAAACATTTTAGTAAAATCTCTTTTTTTTATCAAATTATAATAAGAAATATGGGAATCAGTTGACAGCATCAACTACAAAATAATAAGCCAGATATTGCATTCTTGGTTTCATATTGTGTTTCCCGGAGAAATTATTAACTATGTAATGTCCTTCTTGCACTGGTTTAACCACCTTTTTAATTTTAGAAATGGAAGATATTAAAACAAGAAATGTCAAACAACACAATATGCCCCATTTCAAGCCTTTGAATAATACTATTGGTAAAACTGATACAGAAATATGCCATAAATGGGTACATGGAAGTGTTTAGTAATGACCAATCAATATGTGAAATATGAATGCTTTTTGATAAATAGTTTTCAAGATAATGAGCAATAACTATTCTGACAATTAAGGTCCCTGTGACCTTGACCTAGAAATTCCAAAATCATTATGTGAAATATGAAGACTTTGTGATAAATACTTTTTAACCTTTTACCTCATATAGACGTTTTTGACAGTTTTTCAACCTACTTTTTAGAGGCCTCAAATTGTGAAAAAAAAATGCCTTATTTAGACCCTAAACACTGTTTTTCATTTGAGAAATGCCGCCCCCTATCAAAAAGGTATATCAAGGAGGTGCCAGAGGGGGGATGTGCCCCCAAGAAAATTTTGGACTTGTGAGAGGCTAAAAATGGCCTTAGATCAATCTAAAGGTAACATGCAATCAACGCTGAAAAGCCTTTTACTTAATGAGAAGTTGCAGCACTTTGACATCAGTTTTGATGGAAAAAACAATGCAATCGTGATTTTTTTGTCAATTTTGAGATTTCCCCCCCATTGCCATGATACCAGGGAATTTAAGAAGGAGCATGCTGTTACAAAGGCTATGGTCCAGTCAACATTTGTGCCAAGTTTGATCAGTAATGAAGCATTTTTTTATAGTTTCATAGCATTTGAACTTGTAACAGGAGGATTTTCAATGTAATAGCCATTTTACACAATATACTCATGCAGTAAAAGGTTAAGATAATCAGTGGAATCCATTTGATCGACAGATGGACAGACAAACAGACAGACAAACCGACAGACATTAGCAAAACAATATACCTCCTCGAAAGGGGGGCATAATTTATAACAAATATATATGAACTTACAAGTTCCCTGACTAATAATTTATGCCGTTCTTTATCAAGTCTTGTTTTACCAGCCGACCCTCCTCCCCCGGTTCCTTTTACAAGGGAGACAAATTTTGAACATGCTGCACCTAACTCCTCAAACACCCCTCGTAAACGTTTTTCAGGAAATGGCTGTTCCTGTGATATCATCTCATTCACTTCAGCTATTCCATCTTCCTGCAATACAACATAAAAATCAAATGCCATAGATTTATAGAATAAAAATAGTAGAATTGGCAGCATGGTCAAGTGGTGAACACATCAGACTATAATCTAATGATCACTAGCGGCATGAATTCAAACCCCGTCAGGGGCAAGTTGTTGTTTACTTGTGCAAAAAACTTTAAACTCATTGCTCAGTACTGGTTGGTTCCAGAAGGAAGAGATTCGAAAGTGTGTTTTTAAGCTAAAATCTTCCTACACAATCAAATTAACATAAATTCTGTATAAACCAAAACAACAGAAAGCATAAGTTACACAAAATGTATTTTTCATTCTGTATCCAGCAATCATAAGAAATGTTTCTTTTCATAATTTGGCATTTTAACAAAGTAAGCATAATCAAGTTATTGAATGAAAAGATATGTCAAGGCCTTAAAGAAAGCAATTTTGTTGTTGTTGTTGTTGTACTTGCATACATAAATATTTCAATATATATAACAAAACAGTTATCTAAGGATTGCTGACTGTTCAGGTTCAAAACCCTGTCAGGGACAAGCCTATGTTTCCTAGAGCAAGAAACATTAAATAGATTGCTTACTACAGGTGCTTAGAACTGGTTGGTTCCAGGAACAAACTCAAATGTGCTTCTTTACTAAGTTTCCACCACAATCAAACTAAAATATTCTGTGTAAACAAAACAAACCAGTTTTTCTGCAATTTTTTCGAGGATATTTGTGTTGTACATCCTCCGTCTATGATCCTCAAACATCTCCCTCACATACACGCACGGTTTCTCCTCATAGAATGGTAAGTGATAGTATACTTTATCTCTGGTTGTAGGCTTCAGTGGCGAGGTGTTGCTGTACCATTTTGGGGCATCAGCAGGCCGGGAACCATCAGGATGATCTTCCTGCACATCTTCCTCCTCTTCCGACGTATCATCACTTGACGAGTCACGTCTTGTTGGCGGGTTGTAACCATCTAATACATTACCCGCATTACCTTTTAACAAAAAATATTATTATTTATCACATAAACCAAGGCGCAGGAGTGTTATGTAGGCACGTCAATGAAAAATGACTGTTCTTAACTGTAAACCCGGTCTTATTTTGGATATGTGATCAATAGAATTTTTAGAACTCATGGAAAAAAAACAAAAATATTATTTAAATTAACTCCATCAATAAGATTTAATATTAAATCTACACTCATTCAATATTCTCTATATATTAAAACCATGTTCTTGCATAGAGATTAGATTATAGAAAAGTATATAATCTGCCTGCAAGCTTCATTTTGATTGATTTTTGAGAAACTGAAATTGTCCCGATTCCTAATCTAGTTTTTATTCACATCTTTGATCAAAAGACACATTATTTTATATCATGTTTCTTCATATAATTTTTTTTTTATTGTGTTCTTACCGATACTCATCTCAAAATGTACAGGTTTATCACCAATCTTTCTCTCAATCATTGAGGCCTCCAGGAAACAACCAAACAAGAAATACTCCTCATAGCGACCAGTAGCGTTCTGCAACATAAGTAAAATATTATAGACAATTTCATCCCCTGCATAACTCCTTAATGGGCCCCAAAGAGATGACATAGCTATAATCAAGGCTTATTAATGTACAAGGCCATAAGTTCAGTTGAAACTTCATCGACTGCAAACTTTTTAAGGGAGATTCAACAAAAACCTTCACCTTACAAGGTTAAGTCTTGTTTAATTTTTCAATTAAAATAAAAGGTGAACACTTATTTCAACAGATTGAATAGTCAAAAATAATAAGCAATTTTTGCAGTATCAGCTTAAAATCTTATGAGATAGACTTTCGATTTTAAAGTTTTGAATAAATTTGTGTTCAATGAAGATGATGGGAATTCTAAGCTAATCATATTTCATAAGGTATCATTATGTAATTCACTAGTTAGACAGCGGAAGACAATTTGTGTTGTCACAAGATATATTTATGTTTATCAACAGCAATTTGGCTTGTAAAATATTAAAAAATTTGTTCCTTTTTTGGCTATCAAATGTATTTGTCCTTTACAAAAAGTCTTCACAATACTTACATCAGGCAGAGGCATGGTTGGTTCCACTTCAACAGATGCTGGTCCCCCTTCCATGGCATCTAATATATCTGTCTTGATAGAAACTAAGACACGCCCCCTGTAAGACACACCCTCACCCAGGCCATCATTTAAATGGTTGTGCTCACCAAGGAAATGATAATCTCTAATCGAACCATACAGGTTGATCCAGGAAGGACCAAATGTGGGAACAAAACCTGGGAAACAGAAGAATTATAGATTTATGTACTCTTAATAAGAGTCTGCAAAATAAAAAGGTAGAGTCTTCTTTATCATGCACGACACATCAAAGATGCATTTGGTTTTTTATGGTTTACGTTTGAGTCACTGTGACCAAAATTGAAACAGAGCCATCCACCTTCCATAGACTAGCTAGTTGGCTTCATTCAAAACACCAACAAATGCAAAGTCTTAAGCAGGATTCAAGCCTACGACAGTATCAAATATCTTATTCAAAATCTATATGATGCATGTCAGGCCAATAGTAACTGCTATGAACATAGCTATGCTATAAATAAGTGGTAATATTGCTGCCTTTCAAATAAATAAACATTTTTCTTTTTGTACTGGAAAATAACAAAATGATATTTTGGTACTACTACTTCTTGCTGCCTCAACATCTACTGCCTTAATTTTTAGAAGGTGCTTTGAGAAATGATGTGTAACAGAATATTAAAAGAATGCAAAATTCAGTTAAAGATGATAGCATAATTATACATTTCAAAATATTTCTATCAAATAACATAAATAAAACAAGTAAAGCTGAAAACAAAATATAATTGTAAAGTTAGTAAGAGATTGTCTTGTCGTTTCACCTCGCTGGCCGCTGACCGTTAAATACAATCAAAGTTACAAGACGGGAACTGTTGACCGTGAACAACAGGTGACCACTAAACAGATTTATGAAATAGAGTGATTTTCATCGGGGGCGTCACAAAATGGCTGTTCAGGTCAGGTCATTACCGAAAAGAGGTGACCATTAGTTGAGGTTTGACTGTATTATATTTAATACATGAATTGATTAAACTTAAACCTTTCTCTCCCTCGTTTTCTATTTTGGCGAGATCCACGTAGTGGGTTCCTATAATATCATCATTCACTCTGTGACTGTCCTTCAATTGAATCTTGATTCGTCGACACAGGGGCGGGAACATCTCGGAAAACACGAGCTGTTCATTCCAGTGTGGCTCATATGACCCTTTCTTCACACTTGTGCGGCCCTGAAAATTTCAAACAGCTAAGTCAGTAAAGGCACATGACTTCTGTGTTTTTTTATCATATTCTTTAGGAATACTGAATTTTTCTAATACTGACAATCAGTTTTTACAGATATGATACATATGTATCAATATATGTGAAGAGTTTACTGTAAACATTTTACAAGCATTAAAATGTCAACCCTTCTTTAGATCAACTTTGTAAAAATCTAGTTCCAGGCAAAATTGCAGAGGTTCTCTTTCATAACCATTTATCTTATTTTCCTAAAACAAAGCATTTCTCATACTATTTTAAGAAATTATAGTGCTTTTAAAAAGGAGATACATCATTAGAATTGAATAAAGGAGTTGAAATTCTTCGAGATTTATCATATATATTTCACCTTCTTACATATTTTCAAGTTTTCAGCAAAATACAGTCATGTTTTAAACTTGTTAAAATGTTTTTCTTTTGTTTTCTATATTTCTGATCCATACAAAAAGTTTGAATATTTAATTCAACTAACTTTATGCCCCGCAAATGAAACTTGAACATAAGGATCAACAAGGTCCTTTCCTTCCCCGGTCAGGGCTTTCTTCACACTTGCCATTACACTGGTGTTCATTTTTGGCAGCCCCTCTGCTCGGTAAATCTTGACAGTAAAGTTTGCTCTTTGTCTGTCAGCCGGTACCCCATCAGGTAACAAAAGATTGCTGGAAAAAAAATAAGAAAAAAAAAAATTATCAGGTGAAATAACTAGTCATATACAGATGGGTGAAATAATTAAACTCAACTCAAAGCAAATCTAAGCATATCTTTGGTTATTGTACACTGCAAAATTAAATATCAAAGTAAAAACAAGTACATGTATATAGATATTACTATAGATAACTAGATTGATAAGAATTACAGACTTAAATAGAAAGTCTGATAAATAATCTTAACATAAAAATTTGGTAGAAATTATTGGCAATTCACAAAAAAGTGAATTAATAGTAAGCAATCATTTTTAAGTCAATAAATATGTTATCATTAATCAATATCAAATATTGTACAGCATAGAAGTTCTGTATACAATGTCATATGCTAACACAATCAGGAACGGTGATGGTGACCTTGCATGTTAAAATACACTTAACAAACCTATGCATAATCATACTAGTTATTTATCTGCAATGAATTAAAACATTTCTGCTATACACTCGATACTAGATTTTGCTCCGCCCATAGTTAAAGTTAATTTTCATTTATGAATTAATTCTAAAGTAAAATATTTCTGACTAAACTTACGCTTCAATATCATCATCATCTTTATCTGTCCTTGGTGGAACCTAAAACATAAAACAAATGAGCCATGTCAAGACAAAACCAACATAATGGGTTTGCGACCAGCATGGATCCAGACCAGCCTGCGCATTCGCGCAGTCTGATCAGGATCCATGCTGTTCACTTACAAACCATATGACAAGTAGAGAAACTGATAGCGAACAGCATGGATCCTGATCAGACTGCGCGGATGTGCAGGCTGGTCTGGATCCATGGTGGTCGCAAACGCACTATGTTGGTTTTGTCGTGACACGGCTCAAATTTCATATGATACATATTTTACCATGTTAAGCTACAAACATCCTCAAAAATATATATATATTTTAATGTAAAACTTCCTCTAATAATAGAGATTTTAACATCCCTTACAAGATTCTAACCCAATGAGGTGATGGTAAGTAACTTAATGTTAGTTTAATATACAGAATTTAAATTAGTTCGATTGTGTAGGAAGCTTTAAGTTTTTAGACACACTCTCGAATTTGTTCCTAGAACCAACCACTATTGCGCAATGATTGTACAGTTTAATGCTCAAGGAAAAAATGTCTTGCCCCTGACGAACCTACACAGCAAAATTTCCTTATATTACTAGTCTTATACATAAACAACTTGGTCATGTTGCCACATTCCATTTGAAAAGATAGAAATCCGACAATTTTAATTCAATTTGTTGATTGTCACAATGTGTCAAGGTCATATGGAGACTTTGATTATCAATAGAACAGCTCATTTAAATATATTTCAATACATGTATATAGGCATATAACAAATACCTTGACAGAGTCACCTTTGCCGATTACAGCAATATCACATTTGAGATAACCTTTGACCCCTGCACTCATGTCCTCAGGGTCCATTAACATCGCCCATTTATGGTAAAACTGGTGATCTGTAAAAATCAAACAAAAACATATTTCTATATTATGCATGTATTTTCCTTGCTGCCAAATAGTAGTATTTCTTTTATTTTTCTTTAAATTCCATAATATTTTACATAGTAACTGTTTTAATTTGCATAAAAATGGTCATTCTGACCATATCTTTACATATAAATGTTATGCATTACAAAAAACAATTTACTTAAGGGTTAACAAGAATACTGGTTACTCAGAAGAATTCATTAACATAGCAATAAAAATTGTCTTTAAGGAAAACTATGAAAAAAATGTTTGTTCTATTTTAAGCCTGTATAACCTTGACCCAATAAATGCAAGTATAGAGGTATAACCAACAAACAAAATTTGTAAGTTATCAGTCACTAAAAAGAAAGTGTTATGAGTAAGTATGGCAAGTGTGACAAAAGGACAAAGCCCTCGAAACGTTGGAGATAGAAAAGTTTGTGTAGTAGATAATTATAAAAGGACAAACAGAAAGATGGAAAGACAAAGGAAGAAAAGAAAAACTGGCAGTGACAATTCAGTAAAGACTTCAAAATGTCAAGGTTAGCAGACTGTATGTATCATTTTCTGTGGTGGTACTGTTTTCATTCAGCCCTTTCATCGGTTTGTGTTCTCTTGAAACAACCTTTGAGGGTTTCGAAAGTAAAATTACTAATAAATGTATCTTCTGCTATTGAGAGTTATTACCTTTTGCCACCAGTATAGAGCCAGGTCAGTCAGTGCATCTGTGCAGTCTGACCAGGCTGGTACCTCAATTTTTGTATTGCTATATAAAATCCCATAAACTTTGAATGAACTGTTCCAAATTCAAAGCAGGGAAAGTCCATTATAAAAATTCGGAAGGTTCAGGTAAAGTTTACTCATTTGTAGAATAATAAAATTGCCCCCTCAAATCAATATAATGTATTTTCTTTAACATTATGAGCCATGGGAATAGACAAAAGATAGAATTTGAGATATTGCATCAAATTCACTATGAGTTATACTTTATATTGTGGTTCATTCAGACTTTTAATATATCAATAGAGAAAAGAGAGAATCTTATATCAAAGGTATAGAATCTAGGAAAGAAGCCTTTCAGATTTAAATAAAGAATACTATGCCATATAATTTCAAAACAATAGGAAGTTATTGCGTGCTGATTTGGAAGTAGATGATACTGTAATATCCATAAATTGCAATTTTAAAATAATGTGTTATAGGTATTGCAATTCTAAAATGATTATGTTTATCTTGCATTATTGCAATTTGAATATGTTACAATAATTGTAATTCTAAAATAATGTTGCATGTATTGCAAGTTTAAAATGTTTAAGTTACATTATTGCAATTTGAATATGTGACATAAATTGCAATTCTAAAATAGTGTTATATGTATAGCAATTCTAAATTATGTTATGTGTATGACACTTCTAAATAATATGACATGAATTCAAATTCTAAAATATTTTGTCATTTATTGCAATTCTAAAATAATTATGTTATGTGTTATGTAATTCTGAAACATCTATGATAAATGTATGTGTTTTGCAATTCTAAAATAACAAGTTACATGTCTTGTCATTCTTAAATCATTATGTTTTGTGTATTGCAAATATAGAATATAATGTTACATATTCTTTAATAAGAAAATAATTATTTTACAATTGTATTGCAATTCTAAGATAATTATGTTATATGCAAAATATTGAATGTTATGTGTAGATAAAAAGTTCAATAGATAAATAAGCAAGTGCAACTCTTCATCACCATATTTGTGCAACAGTGCAAGATTTCAGACATCCAACATTTAATAACAGACTAAAAGTAAGCGAATTTTTTTAAATCACAACAAATCTCTTTAAAATATGTTGTAAGTTCAACAAAACAACTTGCCCACAAACATGATTAATATCATTGAACAACAAAGTAATGGTTATGTATACCCTCTCTGTTTTACAAAGGACTTTTAAATATCAAATAGATATTTCACATATAAACCTTTCAAAATAATACAAAAAACTCTGATATTCTTTATTAATGGAAAACAAAAAATTGTTAAAAATATTTCGTAGAAGCAAGAAGTTCACATAGTGCAAGAAGTAGTAATGTCTGTTTGTAAACTATAGCCCAAAGTAGTAATGTCTATTTGTAAACAATAGAACAACAAGTAGTAATGTCTTTTTGTAAACTATAGTCATCTATTTTTTAAACTAAATAGCACAAGAAGTAGTTCTGTTTATTAATTTGTTAACTAAAGCATAAGAAGAAATGTCTTTTTCCAAACTTTAGAACAAGAAGTAGTAATGTGTTTGGTAAATAAAAGCCCAAAAAGAAGCTTAACTATAACACTTGAAGAAAAATTTTCATATGGTAGTGAAACAAGAAGTGGTGCAGAATTTTATACAATGGGGAATATTTAGATATACAAATATAAGAAAGTTTAATTTACTTTTTTAGCTTTTATTTAATCTGTAAACACATATAGTTATTAATTAGGCATAATTAAAATCAGAACAAATGTCTATGTGTAATGAAGAGGAAATTTCTTTTTGTAAACTATATCAAAGAAGCAGTAAATAATTATTTGTCTGTTAACTATAGTTCAAAAATTAGAAATGTCTATGTGTAATGAGCTGTAATGTCTGTTGGTAAACTACAGCACAAAAAGTAGTACATGTAATGTCTATATGTAACCTACAGCACAACAGGAAGAAATGTCTATGTGAAATGAAGTAGAAATGTCTGTATGTAAACTACAGCACAAGAAGTAAAAGTGTCTATTTGCTAACTTGTAACAGCACAAGAAGTGGAAATGTCTATTTGCTAACTTGTAACAGCACAAGAAGTAGAAATGTCTATTTGTAAACTTGTAACAGCACAAGAAGTGGAAATGTCTATTTGCTAACTTGTAACAGCACAAGAAGTAGAAATGTCTATTTGTAAACTTGTAACAGCACAAGAAGTAGAAATGTCTATTTGTAAACTTGTAACAGCACAAGAAGTAGAAATGTCTATTTGCTAACTTGTAACAGCACAAGAAGTAAAAATGTCTATTTGCTAACTTGTAACAGCACAAGAAGTGGAAATGTCTTATTTGCTAACTTGTAACAGCACAAGAAGTGGAAATGTCTATTTTCTAACTTGTAACAGCACACGAAGTAAAAGTGTCTATTTGCTAACTTGTAACAGCACAAGAAGTGGAAATGTCTATTTGCTAACTTGTAACAGCACACGAAGTAAAAGTGTCTATTTGCTAACTTGTAACAGCACAAGAAGTAGAAATGTCTATTTGCTAACTTGTAACAGCACAAGAAGTGGAAATGTCTATTTGCTACCTTGTAACAGCACAAGAAGTAAAAGTGTCTATTTGCTAACTTGTAACAGCACAAGAAGTAGAAATGTCCATTTGCTAACTTGTAACAGCACAAGAAGTTGAAATGTCTATTTGCTAACTTGTAACAGCACAAGAAGTAGAAATGTTTATTTGCTAATTTGTAACAGCACAAGAAATGGAAATGTCTACTTGTAAACTTGTAAAGCCCAAGAAATGGAAATGTCTATTTGTTAACTTGTCACACAGCCCAAGAAATGGAAATGTCTATTTGTAAACTTGTAACAGCCCAAAAAATGAAAATGTCTATGTGTATTGAAGTACTTTTATCTGTTTGTAAACTACAGCACAAGGAGTAAACTACAGTACAACTTGAAATCTCTATGTGTAATGAAAAAGTAATGTCTGTAGTAATGTGTATTTGCAAAGTATTAAAATCACAAAAAGTAGAAATGTTAATTTGTAAACTACAGCAAAATAACTAGTGTCTACATGTAGAATGCAACAAAAAGTAATGTCAATTTGTAAAACTACATTGTATTGCCTATTTGTAAATAATAGCAAAAAAAAGAATGTCTATTTATAAATTGCAGCACACAAAATTGTATAGCCTATTTGTAAAATGTCATTAACCAAGATCAAACAATTGACTTCATAGTCTCAATATTGTTATGACAGTTTTGACTTGCTGTCATAACCTAAAGATTTGTAGTGTGTGGGCTGGGGGGGAATTATATTTCCTTATTCAAGAATACTACTTTTTTGCATTATAATCAATATTTCCTTGTATTTGGCACCAGTACTTCATCATACATGTCATAACGTCCCGGATGCCCGGGATTGTCCCGAAAATCGGATGTCTGTCCCGGAGATGTCCCGGGCATCGATTTGATCCCGAAAAAAAAAATCATGATATTTTGCAAAATTTTCATAAATTTTCTTAAACCTTTCACCTCTCGATCGTAAAACATATTCTGACCTGGTACACATAATACACAGGAACGTTGACACTTACAAGTTTACAATATACAGCCCCCCAATTATCGACTGTCGATTCCCCTCGGCAATTAGCTTTCTTCATGCATCGGCAATTAACATTCTCTGTTGAATTCGGCAGCGGTCAATGGTCGGTTTAATTAATGGTTTACGGCCCTTAACAATTATCGTTAATCTATCTATCCCCGATAATCATTAATTTTTATATCAATCGCTAACTTGCCGAAAGTCTAATTATTACAAACAATGTAAATATATCAAATAAAAAATTAAAGGTGTTTGCTGTGTTTGTTTTTATGACTGGAAGAATTGCATTACGTGACATGTAGTAATTATCACGACTTTAAGATATAACGGGTGAACAACATGGCTGCGCCCATTCACCGGGTTTATAACTTACAACTTACTTGCTTTTAGGGAATAATAAATGAAACAAGAAACATGGCAATGCCATGAAACCAGGTTTTCAATAATATCACCATTGTAGATAAATATGTTGTATTTGAAATACAAATACAAGCAACAAACAATGTAACTATGTGCAATGTAAACATGAATAATGTAGGAGGAATTGCCACAGAGGAAGTGTTCACTATAATTATATTCTGTATAAGGAAAAAAAACAAAGGGCCATAATTAAATAAACAAGAACCGGTTGAACCGGGTGATGCTCCCCGAGAA